ATATAGAGAGTTTAATTGTTGCACATGTTTGTTTTTTATGGTTGAGATGTCAATACAAATAGAAATACATGTACAATCATGCTTACACGTAACACATTAACCATTTGTTTGGCAAGTACACAGTGAAATACACACACCCACACAGAAATGTTTTATTGTATGCTATGTACTGGTTGATGATACGGACTCCAAAGTTAGAATATAGATAGATCTGAATCAGTGAATGGGCTGGTAGGTCGGGCAACTGATTAACCTTTTGGCTGCGTAGCAGTAATATTACGTGCTTCGCATGTTTCCACTGTGTGCGGACCATGTAATATTGCGTGGTTGTGATGGCTTATTTCTACGCATGTTTGCACTCTGTGCAAACGACGTAATATTACGTGCTTGTGATCGGGCCGCTTGTGACAGCTCGCTGTTCACGACACCCGCACAGCATTGCAGACTTCCAAAAAAATCTGCTCTGATGAAATTCAACTTGTACATCTCATATTGGAAACTATGCCGAAATAGCTACTGAATAGTTAACTTCATTATTACATGGTTCGTTCTACTTACATTACAAACAGAACGAAAACAAAACAGCGCCCCCTATTTTCAGGCAAATCTTTACCTTTTTTGTTTTGTTTTGTATTTTTTAAGACCGAACAAACGGTTTTTAACCGAGTATAGTTTAGAACCCGTCCCGTGTATTCATCGATCTCTTCTGTGAATTTTGCGCTATTTGGATCCAAACTGACGGAGCCTTTCATTAACATACATACATACAACATTCGCCAAATTATAGTAAGATTGCTTTTGTTTTTTGATGAAACTACACTACTAAACGATACATGAATTTCATTCAGTAGAGTATCGATACGTATCGACATGTGTATCATCAAGGTTTGAGTCTCGATATATCGATCAACGGTTCAACCATCCCACCCCTTGTATACGATGCTTCTAGGATATCATTGATTTTGCGTGACACAGCTCTGCTGCGAAGTGAGACATGATATTTCTACAACAAGTAAGCGCTGTACTTCAATTAGGAGCAAAGATGGAGTCGTAAGGTTGAGTATTTCTGTTGTAATCGTGTGTAATCAAGCGAGCGTCGAGCGAATTCCTGGCGCACGCTTTCGCATCTGCTCTTATATATATATGTGTTAGTGTACGCGCAATGGCGGTGCCGTGCGCTTACAGTTGATATGCTTCAAGTGCCTGTGGGCTACAGACTCAGTGTTGCACACTGACACTGTTGCTGTGACTTGACATAATTCTACAATGAAATTCACCTCTTCAAATAAACGACATACGAACCATCAGCCTTGACAACTTCCAGAAGTTCATTCTTGATCTGTTCATTGTTCTTATTCTGAGGCAATCCAAGCTCAAATTTCCATTGAGCTAACTGTAAATTCGGATTTTTAGCAAGACCCTCTTCTTCTAAATTTTCGACCGGCATTTTGCTTGACGCTAAATCAGATGTTCTAAACCCATAGCGATCGCAGCGCATAATCGTCATCCCACCAGGCGGCGACACCACACGAAAACAACCAGACGATGCTGGTCTTTTCCTCGTCTCCAACCCCCTAAGCACTGATTTTGCGCAGCATTTCATTGATTTTCTGTCTTGCGCTGCTAATGTGGACGATCAAGTAAGTGTTTTCGCAGCAAACATGCCGGAGATTCCCAAGCTTCATCTTGAAGATGCGTTCGATGAGAGTCCACAGGTAACGAAATAACAGTAAACAAATCAATCACACACACTGTTAGTGTTATTGTGTTGCACACGTATGAACATATTTATTATTACGTCACACATTTGCGAAAACGTGGTCAGCACTTATATCCATGAACCAATACTACTAGTACTGGCTACTGAGCTACTACTCGTACTAGTAGGCTCTAGTAAGCTCTCTCCTTTGTGAATCGTTACATTCCCTATCGTTTATGAAGCATTTAACTTATGAAATTTATGAAACTTATGAAGTTTAAGGTATGAAATGAGTGGGCGGAACCCTACTTCAGTCGTTACTTAGCTACTTAGCCGCTACCCATTCGTCACGCGTCCATACCACTACCAGATGACAAGTTACCATAATCCTAATTTCATTGGTGGCAGTGCCAAGTCTTAAGCTTGTAAAATAAGGAAATAAACACAACATGGCACATTCAGACGTGTTTTACTCTCGCGAATGTAATAACGCCTACTAAAATATTAATGTTTTCGTACATGCTAATGGCAATGCGTCTTTATCGCGCCAATTGGGAAATTTCTGAAAGTAATGTCATGGTATCCATCGTTAAAATTGATTAAAAGATAGCCACAAAACCAGAGACCAGTAGAAAATAGGAGTATTAATAGGAGTATTACACCAATCATTCTTACTCTTGCAAGGTTGGTCAAGCTATACTAGTTGATATGCATTTTTTTCACATTAAAACATTGCGGCATTTCGTTAATAAGTAGCGTTTTTAGAATGCCATTATCGAAATGCAGATTAGATGGATTTACTTGTCTATAACTCTTTGTGGATAAGGCCATAAGGGAGATTTGTATATTGTAGTGTGTTGAGTTTTGGCTCTTTCTCCTTTCGAATGACTATCATCTAAATTCAAATTCAAATATTCAAATAAAGTTTGTTGCACAGATAATCGCTGATCATACAGGCAAATACAAACTACAATAAAACAAGTTCCTATACACTAATAAAAAAACGAGAGAAACGATGTGTCTTATACTACTTGAGAGAAACTGACATCTAAGGACTAAGGTGACTGACTTTGGCAATAATACTACCCTGCTGTTATGATACATGACATGTGGATGTATGTGTGTCTTGCCACTGGTCTTTGCACCATTTCTACCCCATGTTAAATCCCTCTAACAATTTATGAGCTCCGCATGGTGGAACTTTCCCAATGTTCCAGTTTTCTGTAGGGGGGGGGGGGGCACAATGAACTATATGCTAACATCTTTGTGGTTACTGTCTGTTATGTGTAGGATAAGTATTGAGAAAGTTCTAAATGCTGTTAGCTTTTGTTGTCCAGTCAATGTGGGCATCTCATTATAGGTTGGAAGTTGTGACCATTCCAAAGTACTTTGATGTGCTTTCCAATTTCAGTTAAATTTCTTCTGGGGGGGGGGGCATAGATAACTCTGTAGATAAACAGTACTGGCACTCTTCCGTTGCAGAGGGCATTGCATATGTTGGAGTGAAGTGACATTCCCCATGTATGTTCTAATCTAATATATATCTCTGTCCCACATAATAAAAAAATCGTTAAAATGTAATTGACCTGGATAACCCGTCTCTGAAAGAAACGCTTGCCTTGTCCCCATGTAATCTTGTCTTTCTTGTATGGACTCTTTCACATCTTCCTAATATTTTATCCTCTTTTCCTACCGAGGGAGCATTATCAGAACAGTATTAAATTTAGGAAAAAACTAATGATTGTGAATCAAACTGCCAGCATTCTAGCTAACTCCAGAGCTTTGTATTTGTGGTCGCAGATTTCACCGGAACACGGCACGGTGTGTTACTAGCCGATCGTGACGACGGCACATCGTAAAAAAACCTAAAGATTTATCGGCCCGCTGGTGATTGTTTGTTTTGTTTTTGATTTGCGACAAGACACTGTGTTTATGGTGAATTTTCATTAAAAATTTCTCTCTATAAAAATTTTATATAGGAAGAGGTATATATATATATATACCATCTCCTATATATAATTTATATATATATATATATATATATATATATATACATAACATAATTATATACAGATCAGAGGACGAACGGCAGCTTTAACGCACGATTGCACGTCGAGGTAATGTTCTGACGCTCTTTTGTTTTAGACGCGGTCGCTGCTAGGTGTGTTTGAGCAAGATGCCTCGATGTTGAAGGACTACGCAGTCACTCTGCACAGATGCTGCAACCGCATACTGGCAGCACAGGTACTAGTAACTCCCATCTGGGGGTGGGGGTGCCCCTTACTGCAGCCGCACATGGTTAAGCCACAATTAAAACTAGAGGCACTACGGAGTGCATACCTCCGCCAACTAAAGTAACACTATACAGTAGAACATTATCTATATTATGACACTACTGATAATATTAATGGACATACCAATCCAGCTTTACACTTATCTATGAGTCACTTAGCTAGGCAGAGTGCACTGACGGAGTGCATATGTGTTACGAGCTGGCTCGCTTCGCTACGCTGGCTGGCTGGCTGACGCGCTAATATCGATCGCGCGAACACACGAACACACGAACACTAGACTGGTACCCGGTCCCACCTCTCGGCTTAGTTACTCGATGGGGGAATCGAGGTGGGAGCGAGTACCAGTCTAATGCGAACACACGAGAGCGAAAACATAACCTCCTCCAACTCCGTTAGGCGGAGGTAAAAATCTTTGTTTGCCCTCACCCGACCCAGGCTGAAAAGTTTGGGTAGGTAGGTAGGCTTAATTTTTTTTTTCAGGGGGTCTTTTTACAAATTCAGCACGTTGTCTACATGCTCGGGCGTGCTTGTGTGGAGTTTTGCTTGGTACATATAATCAGGAGTCTATCAGTAGGAGTAAGACATACTGAAACCGGCAAAATTCAACATTTAGTTGCCTTAGTCTACCTATGATTTATTGTGTTTAACTCGATAAACTTGAGCTCAAATCTTACCTTAATCATTAAACTATTCCCGTGTCTAATCGTTGGTCTCACAAAAATGACAAATCGGGAGATATCGGTCCAAACGTACAATGTGGTTTTTGCAATTTATACCACATTGTCAACAACTGTGAACCGAAACAAAGGGCAATGCTTTTTAATAGCCCTCTACCGCAAGCAATGCAAACAACTAGCAAGGTTCGCCAGGGATTTCGGAAAGTTAAACACGACTTGACAAGGCAACTAAATGTTGAATTTTGCCGGTTTCAGTCTGTCTTACTCCTATTGATAGATTCCTGATATAATGTATTGCTTACAGATTTATTTAATGTACAGTGATACAATTTGTAAAAAAAAGAAGAAGAAGAATGGGAAAGATCAATAAAAATGTTTGAGTCGGCCTCTTTTTGGCTGATCGGTTCGGTGAGGGCAAACAAACAATATTTTTATTATGGCCTTGGCCATCGTACTCAGAAATACTTATATTTACTGCAGACACACTAAGCTAACCGCTAAATCAGAGTAAAACAGTTGCACGTAACTTTACCGCAGTAAAAATTATTTATCTGCGGTTAAAATTGTGTGGAACAAGGCCCCTGGTTGGGTAAAAACGGCCATACGCGGTTAAATTCTTTCTATAACGCGTAATTTTCTGAGTACGATGTCCAACCATAAACGTGAGAATTTGTTTGATATGCTATATATAGGTGCAGCTGAGAAAACGTAAAAGAGAGTTGTAGGAATGTAGGAAATATTGTATGTAGGAGTGTATGTTATGTGTATGTTATTATGAAGGATTGTATGTAAACATGCGTCTAAACAGAGGAATTGCTCCGACCTGTGATAGGAGGATAAAAATAGAATTCGTGACGTTTCATTTTCATTTTGCATACCCCGCCGCACACGCTATTAGCCTATTATGCTATGACCGGTAGGAAAGTGTACTAACTATCATATTCTATCTAAGATAGACACATGTCTTAGCTATGATCCCTGTGAGTCTTGAGTTTATTGAAGGGCGATTAGCTTAATTAATTAGCAAATATGTACGCGCGGTATCACTCATACTTGAGTCATAGGCTAAATGTCAAAATGAAAACGAAACGTCACGAATTCTATTTTTATCCTCCAATCACAAGTCGGAGCAATTCCTCTGTTTAGACGCATGTGTATGTAAAGGATTTTATGTAAGGATTGTATGTAAGTAGAAGGATGGTGTGTAAGTAATGTAAGTAGGAGAATTGTAGGTATTGATTGCATGTAGGACAGTGGAAAATTACTGATGATCAGTGATCGCCCACATCACACAAGTATTGTAATTAATACGAGTGATGTTCAGTGTACCTCACCCACCCACCTCATGTATCATCTATTAATTATCTAATGTAATTAATAATTAAATTAATAAAAATTAAATTAATGTAAATTAATAATCTCATGCATCATCTATTAATGTCCTCATGCATTCAGCCCACCCACACTTACCCATCGTACACACTTACCATACACTCCCACATGATCTGTCTACTAATATAATGCTCTCATTCACCCAGCTTGTCCACCCATGCCCCCCTGTACACTGCACCCCGCCCCCCTTCTCCATCCCACCGCACCCAACCCACACCCTTGCCACATCAACACCATCTTTCCCACCCAATCCACTCACTCCCCCCCTCTACCTCACCACCCAACCCCACACCCCGTTTGCCAAATCAACACTCCGACCGCTCACCATCCACACCAGCGACTCCCTCCCACCCAACGCTCACACTCCTCCCCCATCGCACGCACTGGGACAGCTCCTCCAGCACACACCCAGTGTTGACCCACGCTTCACACGCACATGCCCGCATGACAGCCGGGCCTTTCCCACCCAACCTCACACTCCCCACCTGAACCCCATCCTCCTCACCCATCGCATCCCCCAGAACACAGGCAGTGTTAACCCAAGGGTTTCACAGGTGTCGGTGGTGGGTGGTGGAGACGTGCCGCTACAGCGACAGCGGCGTCTGGTTTCCCTCGACTGGATGATTAATTCCGGGACAACAGCGCTACGCGGGCGCGGTCGCACCTCAGTTAGGTGGTGTTGGGCATCGTTGCTAGTGGTGTTAAACAGAGGGGTGTTGAGAGCATCGAGTTGAAGGCATAAGTTTAGAAGGTCGTCTGCGTTGGTTTGGCCACAGCATCTGTAGAATGGATAGTGAGCGAGACCAGCAAAGGCACTCTTACTGACAGCGAGCTAGCAAATGGATTGCCCGATCGTTGGTTGTCCTAAATTTGAGATATAAGGCTACCTGCAAAAGGTCTCTGAGGTGTGGGGGAAATTCCTTGAATGCAGTGGAGGAATGTTGTAGACAACAGACAGGAGTGGAGAGGTCGTTGTGGCATACAACTTGTGAATGCTTCAACATATAAGAGAATCAAAACAGTATGAAAGAAAAAGTGAAGCGAAGACTAAAGGAATTTGAACACGAAGGATGATGCTATGAACTTTATAGCGAGTAGATATTTGTACTGAGCGAGTATTATTGCTGTGTATGCGCAGCGTTTGGCTCTCACTAGGGTATTAAGGAGATATTGCTCAGTTGTAGAAGGCTGAGCGTATTGCTGTGGGCAGGGCGAGTTTTTAACTCAGTAATGAGTGTAGGTGCGGGATGGATAAAGACCAAACGGCGCGTTAAAGGGTTGTAGTTTTGTGTTTTGATGGTGTTGTGAGGTTTATGGGTGGCGAGCATGGTAAATAAGTGGGGTGGGTTGTATAGCCAGGAGTGTGGCGGATAGTTGGGTTGCCGTTTGCCGCGGATCAGCGTGTTGCGTCTGGGTGTGTCGTAAGTTGTGTTCGG